ATATATGCCCAGTCGCACGTGCACACATGGGTTGCTTTCAGTTGAAGTACTATTTACTCGTGTTCTTTCTTGTGCTAAATACAGAGATTGACCGTGTTTGATACAGCAGCGCCTTGCCTTCAAGATATATGATGCTCCGTGACCCCTCAACAACACACCACATCTATTGCATATGCCGTCATAACATCTTTCATACACGTGTTGACATGCAGTCTTCTATGCTGCCTTTCATATGCGTGTTAACATGCATGTCTTGTATGCTGCCTTTCATATGTGTGTTAACATGCGTGTCTTGTATGCTGTTTTTCATATGTGTGTGAACACGTGTGTCTTGTATGCTGCTTTTCATATGTGTGTTAACATGCATGTCTTCTATGCTGGTGCCTTTAAAGGTCCCCGTTTTGTTCAGGCGGTATACATCATGTCCATATCCCTTCTCCATGTCTCGATTTTAGGGTCTTCAAACCTCTAAACCCCAAAAGACATGCGTTTCTGCATAATATTTACTTCTTCATTAAATACACCCGTTTCCGTATATCATTCACACTTTGTTACATACATCCGTTTCTTCATATCATCCACACCTTGTAAAATCATACGCTTCCGCATATCATTCACACTTTTCCTGTAGGGCGGGGGGTATCGGAGACTTTCTCACAGTACGGTCGAGAAACGATCCCTTCTTTGCGCTGAGGACGGCCTTTGATTTCGGGTTCTTCATCGTCATTGTTGTCATTGTGCTGAAGATGGTCTTTGGTGTCATCGTAGATACCTTTGGACAGTTGAGGTATGGACGCGTACCTGTAGATGTATAAGTACACGTACACATCTGTAGATGTATAAGTACATGTATAAGTACATGTATAAGAGTGCATGTACACATCTGTAGATGTATAAGTGCATGTATAAGTGCATGTACACATCTGTAGATGTATAAGTGCATGTACAGATCTGTAGATGTATAAGTGCATGTATAAGTGCATGTATACATCTGTAGATGTATAAGTGGGGTATAACCAAAGTGCATGCGTTCTAATCCATCGTGTGGCTCGTCCTATCGGGTTCGATGCGCGGTTGCCAACATCCAGGGCTGCCTAATGCAATAGAAAGTGTACTGTGTGTTGTGGGTAGTTCCGAATACTGATGTGTTGCGGATAGTCAACTCTCTGGTCACCTGAGCGCCTGGTGTGTCAACCATCGACGCGTGTGCATTTAAGGTTTTGGGGTTTTAGAGTTTTGCAGAATTGGCCGAGTGCCCTTGCCTGCACATTGGCGACTGCCGCGAACTTTGGGGTTTAGGGTCTTTGGGTTTGTGCATATTCGGACATCGGCCATCGGGATTCTTCGACCACTTTCTGCGTGTTTTAGGGATTTAGGGTTGAGTTTCAGTGTGAATGGTTTGCGGTGACTACCACTTCCTCGCCAGCAGCCAGGTGCTCCAGGCTCCAGGCACTGCTACTACATATGCGGTTTAGTGTTTACAGTGTGTATAGAGTCCCGAATGATCCCAAACACATGTAGCGATCGTCCTTAGGTTATATAACATAACTCAATTAAATACATGCAGCACTCGTCCTTAGATATATCACATACCATCGGATTACTGGGTCGCGTGGGCTGGGCAGTTGACACTCCATGCACTCTCTCTGTGCCTCACTCGCCTAATCGCACAGAAAGGAAAATTCTGAACGGGACGAGAGCAAACTCAACACTTGCTACATCTGCGGGCTGCATCGCCGGCGCTTTGACGGTGCTTCGGTGACGTTCGAGGATCACACACAGTACTACCACAACACACTGTCGTATGTGTACTTCTACGTCTACCTGCGAGTCACCCCGGATACCGATTTAACCGGTGAGTAGAAAGCGGGACGTATGGGCAGCTCAGCACGCTACACACTTCATTTCACACGCCTCACACTTTTGCCGTGTGTGTCTGAGTTGGATTTGTTGTTTTTGTGTTTGGTTGTTTGTGGTAGAGAGCGCGTAGTCATGCGCATGTACAATACTAGCACAGACACATACAATACCAGTTGAACAATACTAGCACAAACCCATACAACACCAGTTGAACAATACTAACACAGACCTATACAACACCAGTTGAACAATGACCTATACAACACCAGTTGAACAATACTAGCACAGACCTATACAACACCAGTTGAACAATACTAACACAGATCTATACAACACCAGTTGAACAATGACCTATACAACACCAGTTGAACAATACTAGGACAGACCTATACAACACCAGTTGAACAATACTAACACAGACACACAGACCCATACAACACCAGTTGAACCTACATGTGACTTTATATCTTATGTAGACTTGCATTGCTCTCTCAAGACATCGCCAATAGCCTTGTGCCAATGTGGCATCTCATGTATCATCTCCACACGCGTACACACCTCTACAACAAAGGGCCAGAGAAGTACGTGAAGCACAGGCTGCAAACACGTACGATTGATTGGGTGCCCATTCTGCGCACATGGCAACTGCCACAGGAACAGGAGTCCAATGCAAAGACCAAGGCTACTTTACGCAGTCAGGTGGTCACGTTGAGGGTATGTTTGTCGCTAATTTATAATATTCTTAGGAGCTGGTATGCACACGGTGACTCATCATTCTGTTTACCTCTGGGCTATATACGTATCAACTCATTTCTATGAATGTAAAAATGATGGATACATATAAATAACGCATATATATTCGTATGCGTCATATAATTATGTATATATATATATATGTGTGTGTGTGTGTGTATACAAATATATATATATATATGTGTGTGTCTGTGTGTGTGTGTGTGTGTGTGTATATATATATATATATACAAATACATATACATATACATATACATATATATATATATGTACGTATGTATATGTATGTATATATATATACATATATATATATATATATATATATATATATATATATATATATATATATATATATAATATCTACTTATGTATTTATATATGTGTGTATATATATATATATGTGTGTGTATATATATATGTGTGTATATATATATGTGTGTGTGTATACGTAAATACGTACATATATATTTACATATTTATATGTAT